CTTATGCTCATCCTTTGGTCCTCCGCTATTTTTTGGTAAGCATCCTGTTTTTCTTGATACGCTTCTTGGTTTTCTAGCATTTTTTATACATCTTTCAAGATTTCCTATGCAGTTGGGTTTTCTGACAGTGAACCCCTCCTTTGTTCTGTATTATTTTTAGATTTTTTTTGTCCAGTTCTTAAAGATTTTTCCTATGTTGACTTTTATAGCCGTTGTGGTGTCTGTTCTACTTCTCTTCTTTCTGCTCTTCTTCTCTGGCCTCTTCTGTCTTCTAATTTCCTCCTTGAGTTGACTCCCCAATACACCGTTTCCTTCTGAATTGTCTAGATTGTCTTTATGGTAGTTGTCTGGGCTTATAATAGTTCCAAATACTTAGTGCAATTATTCTATATTGCTTACACTTTCGTATTCTTATTTCTAGTTAATCAGTTATTAAAATTCAGTCTTTCATTTAATCTGGATCAGTTTACATTTAATCTAGGAATACTTAATCTTGATAAATTGATAGAAGTTGATCTTAATGAATTGGTAAAAATTAAGTTTTTACATTCATTACACTGAATACATTGATTACATTAATTACCTTCTCGATATCTCCGTGTATATTCTTTCTTCTATTTTATATCTTCTGTGTTCCTTAGTCCTCTTGTAATTTTGCCAATTGTTCCTTATGAGAGTCCTTCTTGCTTCTAACTTCTTATTTCTTTCCTCCTTCTTAAGTTTCCTTTCAATTATTTTCTGATTATTATTGGTTTGAGTCTCTATTTTTATTGCTTATTTCCTTATTTTTGTTATTGTCTTTATTTCTTTTTTGGCTGCGTCCCTTGCTTCCTTCCTCTCTAGGATTTCTTTACTCCCTCTTGTTGCTCTTCTTTCCACTTCCGCCTTCTCCCCTGCTCCAGAATGCTTTGCAAGACTATCTTCTCTACCGGTTGGTTAGCTTGCGTCGTTTCCTGGCGGGAGGGCGCCTCATGGACTGTAGCCAGCAAGTTCTGCCTGGCTAGTGATTTGCCGAGGGAGTCCCTAGCGTTTTCAAGGCCTTTTTTTTTAATCCTTTTATTCTTTCCCGATGACTGTTTTTCCTCCGGTCCAATCCGGTTCCCTCTGTTCTATTGTGCTCTGTATTACTCTTTGCTTAGTGTTTGCTTAGTGTTCCCGTCCTCCCGTCCTCCTTTCCTCTTCATAGAATCATAGAATCAAAGAGTTGGAAGAGACCTCATGGGCCATCCAGTCCAACCCCCTGCCAAGAAGCAGGAATATTGCATTCAAATCACCCCTGACAGATGGCCATCCAGCCTCTGTTTAAAAGCTTCCAAAGAAGGAGCCTCCACCACACTCCGGGGCAGAGAGTTCCACTGCTGAACGGCTGTCACAGTCAGGAAGTTCTTCCTCATGTTCAGATGGAATCTCCTCTCTTGTAGTTTGAAGCCATTGTTCCGCGTCCTAGTCTCCAAGGAAGCAGAAAACAAGCTTGCTCCCTCCTCCCTGTGGCTTCCTCTCACATATTTATACATGGCTATCATATCTCCTCTCAGCCTTCTCTTCTTCAGGCTAAACATGCCCAGCCCGTTAAGCCGCTCCTCATAGGGCTTGTTCTCCAGACCCTTGATCATTTTAGTCGCCCGCCTCTGGACACATTCCAGCTTGTCAATATCTCTCTTGAATTGTGGTGCCCAGAACTGGACACAATATTCCAGGTGTGGTCTAACCAAAGCAGAATAGAGGGGTAGCATTACTTCCCTAGATCTAGACACTATGCTCCTATTGATGCAGGCCAAAATCCCATTGGCTTTTTTTGCCGCCACATCACATTGGTGGCTCATGTTTAACTTGTTGTCCACGAGGACTCCAAGATCTTTTTCACACGTACTGCTCTCGAGCCAGGCGTCCCCCATTCTGTATCTTTGCATTTCGTTTTTCCTGCCAAAGTGGAGTATCTTGCATTTGTCTCTGTTGAACTTCATTTTGTTAGTTTTGGCCCATCTCTCTAATCTGTCAAGATCGTTTTGAATTCTGCTCCTGTCTCTGGAGTATTGGCTATCCCTCCCAATTTGGTGTCGTCTGCAAACTTGATGATCCTGCCTTCTAACCCTTCATCTAAGTCGTTAATAAAGATGTTGAACAGGACCGGGCCCAGGACGGAACCCTGCGGCACTCCACTTGTCACTTCTTTCCAAGATGAAGAGGAAGCATTGGTGAGCACTCTCTGTGTTCGTCCACTTAACCAATTACAGATCCTTCTATTGAGTTATTTCTCCTCTTTCTCTTCTTTATCTCAAATATTCTAGTATTCTTCTTTATTCTTACTTCTTCCCCTCTGTCGTTCGCTATGGGGCGTTTTTGGGGTGGTTTGTCTACTCACCCGTAAGTTCGCTCACTCCACCGCTCTTTAAAAGTGGCATTCGGTCGGCTGTTGTTCCAATCCCCAGGTCCCTGGAGTGGATACCTCTATCTCGATCCGCTGCTCCTGTGCCTCCCCTAGTCCGGGTCTTCTGGCTGATCCCCTTGAGGGGGACCCGCACTTGAGACCGTCGGGAAGGGTGGCTTTGCGTTTCTTGGGCCTTCAATCCGGCCCGAGGTTGAGAAACGCTGCCTTAGTGGATTATCTACGTAGGGAACTGGATGGGAGAGTTTGTCGCTGTTCGTTCTCTTGGACCGCTCAGTGGCCTTCGATACCAAAGACCACAGTATCCTTCTGAGACCTCATGGAAATGGGGCTCAGAGGCACTATTTTGCAGTGGATCCAGTCCTTCCTGGAGGGTCGCTCTCAGGAGGTGTTGTTGGGGGACACCTGCTTGGCCCCACAGCCTTTGTTCTGTGGGGTCCCACAGGGTTCAGTACTCTCCCTCATTTTAATTAACAGCTAAATGAAGCTGCTGGGGGAGATCATCTGGAGTTTTGGAGTTTGATGCCATCTTTATGTAGATGACATTCAACTCTATCATTCCTTTCCATCTGTTGTTAAGGAGGCTGTTCAGATCCTGAACTGGTGCTTGGAAACTATGACGGTCTGGATGAGGGTGAACAAATTGAAATTGAATCCAGACAAAACAGAGGTACTCTTGGACAGTCACAAGATCGAACAGGATATAGGGTTACAGCCAGTGTTGGATGGGGCCACATTCCCCCTGAGAGACACATGTTTGAAGCTTAGGAGTTCTGGACTCATCATTGAGCCTGGAACCCCAGGTCTCGGCAGTGGCCAGGGGAGCTTTTGCACAATTAAAACTTGTGCATTAGTTGCATCCATTGTTTGGGAATCCAGACTTGGCCATGGTGGTCCAGGCTCTTGTTACAGCTCAAATAGACCACTGCAACACAGTCTACGTGGGGTTACTTTTGAAGACTGTTCGAAAGCTTCAAGTGATCCAATGGGTGGCAGCCAGGTTCCTCACCGAAGCGGGGTGCAGGGAGCACACAACTTCCCTGTTATGTCAGCTCCACTGGCTGCCAGTCTGCTATCAAGCACAATTCAAAATCCTGGGTTTAGCCTATAAAGCCCTAAACGGTTCCGGCCCAGCTTACCTGCCAGAACGTATCTCCCCCTATGAACCACCTCAAAAGTTAAAATCTTCTGGGGAGGTCCTGTTCTCGGTCCCACCTTCTTTGCAGGTGCATTTGGCGGGGATGAAACAGGGCCTTCTCAGGGTGGCACCTCGGCAATGGAACTCCTTCCCCAGCAAAATCAGATCAGCTGCCTCCCTCCTGACCCTTAGAAAGAAATTAAAAATCTGGCCATGGGATCAAGCTCTTGGAGATTAATCAGTGCAATAGGCAGATATGAAATAAGTGCAACACGACTGGAATGACTCTTGGACTATGATTTTGATTATGTGTGGTTTTAATACTTGATTTGAATATACTGATGTTGATTTTTAAATTATTATGGATTTTAAGGTATGTGTTTATTGTATTTGTATATTTGCTTGAATAGCATTTAATTGTTGCTAATTTGGAAGCCACTCTGAGTCCCCTTCGGGATGAAATAGAGTGAGGTATAAATGTAGTAAATAAATAAATAAATAGTACTTGGGGCTCCTTTTTGGGGTAGGGCTTATATTACAAGCATCCTGAAGAAAAATCAGACTAGTGCTTATTTTCTAGTTAGGTCTTATGTTCAGGGAAATAGGGTTATTATTCATGAGTACTAGTATATACAGTCTGTTTCCATTTGCGCCTTCCTGCTACTATGTCAACTGATCTAATAAAGAATGGTTTATTTATAATAAATAAAATGTATTGTTGTTGTTGTTGTTGTTCTTGTTACCCATCCTCTCCTGTCATCTGAAAGGAGATGCCTACTTTTTCCTTACCCCAAAAGCCAGGATCTGTAATATAATAAACCTTGGTTTACCATCCTGGCATGTAAAGGTAACAACCATCCGGGACGGTGTTTGAGAAATGAGAAACAAGTCGCTTCTGATTTATCTAGCAGTTGCAACAGCAGGGAGAGCAAAGTAGGGATAAAAGGGCTGCATTCCTATCCTGCAGCTCATTCAGGACATAAAAAGGACTCTCTAGAACAGGGGTTCTTAAACTTTTTAAACAGAGGGCCAGGTCACAGTCTCTCAAACTGTTGGAGGGCTGGACTATAATTTGAAAAAACACAAATAAATTCCTATGCACACTGCACATATCTTATTTGTAGTGCAAAAAAACCACTTTAAAACAATACAATAATTAAAATGAAGAACAATTTTAACAAATATAAACTTATTAGTATTTCAATGGGAAGTGTGGGCATGCTTTTGGTTGATGAGATAGGATTGTTGTTGTTGTTATTGTGTGCTTTCAAGTTGTTTTAGACTTAGGTTGACCCTGAGTGAGGGCCAGGTAAATGACCTTGGAGGGCCATATCTGGCCCCTGGGCCTTAGTTTGAGGATCCCTGCTCTAGAATCTCTGATTTATTTATAAATGTGTTAGAATAAGAAGAAATGCAAGAAAACCACCATCGCAAACTCTGCAGCGGCAAGAAAGTTCTGATCTGCAGATTGAATACCTCTGGGTCCAGTCCAAACTGAATGGCAAAACTCTCCGCTTCGGCAAACCTGCGCTTGTGAAGTAAACGGCTCAGTCTAAGGAAAGAGACAATAGAGAGCAGAGTTACCTAATGATCTCCAATTGAAAATCTTTTCTGAATTGGTTTTAACTCTTCATTTTATAGACACACATTCCTATTTAAATGCTTTTTAATTTTCGTATTTGCTTTGTTTTAAAGTGATCAAAATGTGTGGTTGTTAGTCGCCTTGAGTCCCCTCGGGGAGAAAGGCAGGGTTTAAATAAATAAATAAATAATGCTTGCACCTAACTAGAACAGCAAACATTTGTATATCTATGTCTACACACACACACACACAAACACCCTTACCTGTTCTCAGGTAAGGCTTCTGTTAAGCATCTCATTACCAGAAATGAAACGTCAGACCTAAAAAGCAATTCTTGGTTAAAAAAGCGAATGAAGCCACTGGACAGAAAGCGATACGTGAACTGTCAATGTGAGTCCAAGCTTACTCTTGTTCATCTTCACACACTCCTTCCAAAAAGTATATCGTATCCTGTAAGAGAGGCAATATTTAGGGTGAGGGGGAAGAAATCCCAAATAATTGCATAATATTTAGATAGAAATTGTGAAAGTATTATGGTCTTGGTCAGCATCACTAACATGACTGACTCCCCCAAATATTGTCCTTTGTGACAGCAATGTTTCAAGCTCCCTTTCCAAAAAGAGAAGCCTCTGGCTCTTCAGATGTTTTGACTTGCAGCCCCATCTGCATAGTGAATGGCAAGGAATTATGGATGTGTCCCTTGAAAACTCAGCTGAGAGTTTGCTTTTCATACTGTCTTTTTTTCCTTCCACCTTTCCTGTGATTTCCCCCATTTACTTACAGTATTTATTCCACTTTGAACCAGTGAAGACACATGAGCCACTTTCAAAGAGTAGAGTTGACGCAGAGTCGGCAACGAAAAAATGACAATCCGCCTCGTCTGCAAAACAGATTTGTTTATTGATTACTCATCTGACCATATCAACAGTATTCATTTATTTATTGTGTCAGAAGCAAATTGAGAACACAGTTATAATGCATACAGAAACCACAACCACAAAGTTAAAAGCCTGGCATTGTACTAAATTTCCTTTGACCAGAAGCTGGCCACTTGGAGGGCCTCTGGTGTCGCGGTAAGAAGGTCCTCCATTGTGCATTTGTTGGGGCTCAGACTGCATTGCAGTCAACGGTCTGTAGTTTGATCTTCTCCACACTCACATATCGTGGACTCCACTTAGTAGCCCCATTCCTTAAGGCTAGCTCTGCATCTCATGCTGCCAGAGCGCAGCCTATTCAGTGCCTTTCAAGTCGCCCAGTCTTCTGTGTGCTCGGGAGGGAGTTTCTCATCCAGTCTCAGCCACTGATTGAGGTCCCAGGTTTAGCATGCCACTTTTCATAGAATCATAGAATCATAGAATCAAAGAGTTGGAAGAGACCTCATGGGCCATCCAGTCCAACCCCCTGCCAAGAAGCAGGAATATTGCATTCAAATCACCCCTGACAGATGGCCATCCAGCCTCTGTTTAAAAGCTTCCAAAGAAGGAGCCTCCACCACACTCCGCGGCAGAGAGTTCCACTGCTGAACGGCTCTCACAGTCAGGAAGTTCTTCCTCATGTTCAGATGGAATCTCCTCTCTTGTAGTTTGAAGCCATTGTTCCCTTGCGTCCTAGTCTCCAGGGAAGCAGAAAACAAGCTTGCTCCCTCCTCCTGTGGCTTCCTCTCACATATTTATACATGGCTATCATATCCCCTCTCAGCCTTCTCTTCTTCAGGCTAAACATGCCCAGCTCCTTAAGCCGCTCCTCATAGGGCTTGTTCTCCAGACCTTGATCATTTTAGTCGCTCTCCTCTGGACACATTTCAGCTTGTCAATATCTCTCTTGAATTGTGGTGCCCAGAATTGGACACAATATTCCAGATGTGGTCTAACCAAAACAGAATAGAGGGGTAGCATTACTTCCCTAGATCTAGACACTATGCTCCTATTGATGCAGGCCAAAATCCCATTGGCTTTCTTTGCCGCCACATCACATTGTTGGCTCATGTTTAACTTGTTGTCCACGAGGACTCCAAGATCTTTTTCACACGTACTGCTCTCGAGCCAGGCATCCCCCATTCTGTATCTTTGCATTTCGTTTTTCCTGCCAAAGTGGAGTATCTTGCATTTGTCTCTGTTGAACTTCATTTTGTTAGTTTTGGCCCATCTCTCTAATCTGTCAAGATCGTTTTGAATTCTGCTCCTGTCCTCTGGAGTATTGGCTATCCCTCCCAATTTGGTGTCGTCTGCAAACTTGATGATCCTGCCTTCTAACCCTTCATCTAAGTCATTAATAAAGATGTTGAACATGACCGGGCCCAGGACGGAACCCTGCGGCACTCCACTCGTCACTTCTTTCCAGGATGAAGAGGAGAAGCATTGGTGAGAATCACCCTCTGGGTTCGTCCATTTAACCAATTCCAGATCCACCTCACCGTAGTTTTGCCTAGCCCACATTGGACTAGTTTCCTTGCCAGAAGGTCATGGGGGACCTTGTCGAAGGCCTTACTGAAATCCAGGTACGCCACATCCACGGCATTCCCCGCACCTACCCAGCTTGTAACTCTATCGAAAAAAGAGATCAGATTAGTCTGGCATGACTTGTTTTTGATAAATCCATGTTGACTATTAGCAATGACCGCATTTGTTTCTAAGTGTTTGCAGACCACTTCCTTAACAATCTTTTCCAGAATCTTGCCTGGTATTGACGTGAGGCTGACCGGACGGTAGTTGTTTGGGTCATCCTTTTTTCCCTTCTTGAAGATTGGGACCACATTGGCCCTCCTCCAATCTGCTGGAACTTCTCCCGTTCTCCAAGATCTCTCAAAGATGGTTGCCAATGGTTCCGAAATGACTTCCGCTAGTTCCTTCAATACTCTTGGGTGTAGTTGATCTGGCCCTGGGGACTTGAACTCATTTAGAGCAGCCAGGTATTCCTGTATGACTTGTTTCCCAATTTGGAGTTGGATGTCCTCAAATCCCTCATCCACTCCGTCTTGCTGAGGTTGAAGATGACTTTCTTTTTGTGAGAAGACCGAGGCAAAGAAGGTATTAAGTAGTTCTGCCTTTTCCCTATCCCCTGTCAGCATTGCCCCATCTTCTCCTCGAAGAGGCCCTATCGCCTCCTTGTTTTTCCTTTTTCTACTGACATAAGAAAAGAATCCCTTTTTATTGTTTTTAATGTCCCTGGCAAGCCTGAGCTCGTTTTGTGCTTTAGCCTTGCGGACCTTTTCCCTACAGGTGTTGGCTATTTGTTTGAATTCTTCTTTGGTGATTTCTCCCTTTTTCCAGTTCTTGTGCATGTCTCTTTTGTGTCTCAGCACAGTTAGAAGTTCTTTGGACATCCATTCTGGCTTCTTTGCACTTGTCCTATTTTTTCTTTTTGTTGGCACGGTTTGCAACTGCGCCTTGAGTATTTCACTCTTGAGAAACTCCCATCCATCCGTAACTCCCTTGTCTTTTAGTATCTGTGTCCACGGAATGCTGCTCAGTGTTTCCTTCATTTTTTGGAAATCAGCTCTCCTAAAGTCCAAAATGCGGGTTTGACTTGTCTTAGTTTCGGCCTTCCTTTGTACCTCAAATTGCAGGAGCACATGGTCACTTGCCCCTAAGGATCCTACCACTTCGACCGCATCGATCAGGTCCTCCGCATTTGTTAGGATGAGATCAAGAGTAGCCAATCCCCTTGTTGCCTCTTCTACCTTCTGGACCATGAAATTGTCTGCAAGGCAAGCGAGGAATTTGTTGGATCTTGTACTCTTGGCCGAGTTTGTTTTCCAGCAAATATCGGGATAGTTGAAATTGCCCATGACTACTACATCTCTTCTCTGTGCCTGTTTGGTCAACTGTTGGCAGAAGACTTCATCAAGTTCTTCCTCCTGGCTTGGAGGTCTGTAGTAGACTCCTACAACAAGATCTTTTTGAGTCCCAGTTCCCTTGATTCTTATCCAGATGCTTTCAAGCTGGTTTCCCGGATTGCTGTCATGCATTTCTTCTGCAGCATAAGAGTTTTTGACATATAAGGCTACTCCGCCTCCTCTCCCCTTTGTTCGGTTTCTGTGAAAGAGGTTATAGCCCTCGATGTCTACATTCCAGTGATAGGAGTCATCCCACCAGGTTTCAGTGATCCCTATGATATCATATTTGTGGTGTTGTGCTAAAAGTTGGAGTTCGTCATGGACTCTCACTTGCTGAGGTGCTCCTGCAAGTATCTCTGTAGAGTTTAGGAAGCTATTTCTTGATTTAAGGTGTTGGCGTGCTGGCTGATATCTGTACAGAGAATGGGCCGGAGATGTCCATGCCTTGGTCCTTTCATTGCTGGCTGCTACTTCCCTACGGATGTCAGGTGATGCAATACCTGCGAAACAATATAATTTCTCCAGCAGTGTGGAACATAGACATCCTGTGATAATGCGGCATGTCTCATTAAGAGCCACATCCACTGTTTTAACGTGGTGAGATGTATTCCACACTGGGCATGCATATCCAGCAGCAGAGTAGCAAAGTGCAAAGGCTTTCATATGATATTAATTCTAGCACCCACTCTTTGCTTGGTATTCAAGCAGTGTTTCTTGTAAGTTAGAGCACGGTCCACAGTAACTACCAGGTATTTTGGTGTGCTGCAATGCTTCAGTGGGGTTCCTTGCCAGGTAATCCTCAGAGCTCGAGATGCGTGTCTGTTCTTAAGATGAAAAGCACACGTCTGCATTTTAGATGGATTAGGAACCAGCTGATTTTCCCTGTAATAGGCAGTAAGAGCATCTAAAGCTTCAAAGAGCTTATGTTCAACCATTTCAAAGCTCCCTGCTTGAGCGGTGATGACACGATCGTCAGCATAGATGAAACTTGTGTAAATATTAAACATGAATGGAACAAGCATCAAGAGTAAAAGACAAAAGACAAGTATACAAAGACACAATAAAGGCAAATCCCTATCCTGTTAATAGTTAGCTAAATATATATTTAAGCACTTAAAACTTAAATAATATGTTTGGAAAAATCGGATTAAATTAAATTTCAAAATGGTTTTAAATAAGTCTATCAGGAATTTCAACAAAGATAACTAGATTTTTGTTTCTCTCTCATCTGCAAAAAACAGAACAATTCCTAAAATCATGCAGTGAAATACCATTAAGTTATGTCAGGCAGATTCATAAATTTCAAGTCACTTTTTTGTTATTATGAAATAAATATATTATCTTATTTAAATGAATATATGTGTGTATAAATATATATATATATGTGTGTGTGTGTGTGTGTGTGTGTGTGTGTATATATATGATAATATAATCAAATAAAGAGATTGGAGGGGGTTTCAATAAAAGCAAAAAGGCAATACCTGTTTGTCATCATCAGGTTTTGTCAAAACAACCAGCTTGAGATCGGCAATCCCTTGTCTGAACAAAAAAAAAAGGTGTCAACTGAAGTAGTAAGTGAGCTGCCAGAATTTAAAATGATTCTAGTAGCAGCGAAATGACCCTCACTTTGAAAGGTATGCAGAGAAAGGGCCTGTATTTCCCAAAGACCCCTGGAAGGCAGAGCTTGAATGAGTTACTTTGGAAGTAACGGAATCACAAAGCCCCATCTAGAATGGCTAAAGGGTCCCTGGAGTTGTGATCCAACTCCAGATTCAAGTTCTAGTTGGATGGTGTGCATAGGTCACCTCTGATAGCAATGTGTTGTCGCAGGCTTTCATGGCAGGAATCACTGGGTTGCTGTGAGTTTTCCGGGCTGTCTGGCCATGTTCCAGAGGCATTCTCTCCTGACGTTTCGCCCACATCTATGGCAGGTGTCCTCAGACATTATGAGGTCTGTTGGAAACTAGGCAAGTGGGGTTTATATATCTGTGGAATGTCCAGGGAGAGAGAAAGAACTCTTGTCTGGTGGAGGCAAGTGTGAATGTTACCATTGGCCACCTTGATTAGCGTTGAATACCTAATCAACAAATGCTACGTTCAGCAAAGGACAAGAGGGAACCCTCACCTCTGCAGAAGTTTGCCATATACCATGCAGCTGTGGACAAGTCGACATAGCAGCCCCCAAACACAGCAGCATTGCCCAAACACAAATCAAGGAACATGAAAGGCACTGCAGACTAAGTCAGCCAGAGAAGTCAGTCATAGCAGAGCACTTTATGAACCAACCTAGACACAGCATATTATCTGGAAACACAGAAATGCTGGACCACTCTAACAACCACCATGTCAGACTACACAGAGATGCCACTGAAATTTATTTATTTATTTATTTCTGGTATTTTTATCCTGTCTCTTCTCAACCCCCGAAGGGGGATTCAGGACGGCTTACATTTAGTAACGACACAATGCCGCTACATAAAATTACAATAGTAAATCACAATTAAAATACATACAGCAATAATTAAAAACAGCGACTACAGCATTAATTAAAACCATAAAACAGTATCGCAATATCATCAGCCGTGACATCATTCCAGTCGATATCCAGCTAAAGTGCTCCTTATGTCTGTTGTCCAAAAGCCTGGTCCCAAAACCACAATTTTAATTTCTTCCTAAAGGCCAGGAAGGATGGGATCGATCTTATCTCATTCGGGAGTGCGTTCCAAGCATGTGGACAATTTCAAGAGAAAGGAGGAAACTATGGAAATGAGCAAAATCTGGTAACCAGTATTTAAAAATAAATAAAGAACAATACTAAAAAAACAGGGGAAATCCAGACAGGAAACAATCAGGGCCAGCGAACACCACCCAACAAAGGTTTCCCCAGGCAGGAAGCAGCCAGGCTTTGAAGCTGCAAGGCCATTCAATGCTAATCAAGCTGGCCAATGGCAACATTCACATTTGCCTCCAACAGACAAGAGTTTTTTCTCCCACCCTAGACATTATTCCACAGATAAACCCCACTTGCCTATTTTCCAACAGACCTCACAACCTCTGAGGATGCCTGCCACAGATGTGGGCGAAACGTCAGGAGATAATGCTTCTGGAACATGGCCAGACAGCCCGGAAAACTCACAGCAACCCAGCACCTACACTCCAGGTTGCATGTGTCAACGAGCCAAATTCAGCCCACCATGTCATTTGATGTGGCCCTTCTCCAGATGCTAGATTTGTGTTTTTTGGCACCAAGGGCTTGAAAACTCGCCTGTCTCCTGCTACCCAGGGACCACATCACCCTCTGAGATATAGCAGGACATCACCTGTTTCTCCTCTGCAACCCAGCTCTCTCTTAACCAGTTTGCGATGGAGGTAGACCCAAGAGAAGGGTTTCTCCTGAGAATCTCAGGGCCTGGGCAAGTTTATACAAGAAGATGTGATCAACCAAATAGCCTAGACCATTAAATAGTCACGACAGGCAAGATTGCAAGATAATACTGCCCCTGGGAAGCTGTGGCACACACTTGAATAATTCTCAGAAGTTATCATTTCAGTCATCCACTTTACCTAGCAACTGCTGAGAAATCAGATTCTGAAGTCAGCAGGAATTCTTCGGTGTCCACTAAAAGGCCATCCCAAATCATCGTCAAGCGAATGTCCCACAACGACAGAACGTTCTACCAGGAGAAAAAAGACAAATATCAGTCTGCTCTTCACCTTAGGATAGTGAAGAAGATACATCTGCATTACTGAAATTTTTCTGTCGGCGAATCAAGTAATCATCGATCAGTTGCAAATACATGGCAAACTGATTAGGGTGAATAAGGGGAAATATCTGTCCAACTTTAAAGGAGAATGACACATTTTGAAACAACCATTCCTACAACCGAGACATCCATGCCAATGGACATGGTTTCACTGTCTCTGCAGAAGAGGTACACATGACTAAGATATAAATGTTTCTGTAAATAAGTATAAAATCCAAACCAGGAAGCCTTTCAGCAACCTGGTTCTTTTATTGCCTGAACTAGGAAACTAGGATTATGCAGCTAGCCAAGATAGTAGGAAATCATTAATTCACGTAGCTTTAAAATCCCAGCTTGTTCTCCAACTGTTAATCATGGATTCCAGTTCCACACAAAATGGGGAACCATGGTTACAAACACTGTGGATTGATGATGGCTTGACACAAGGGGCTCTGTGCAATGTGTACAAAAAGTTCTATTGAACCAATGTGATGTTAACTTTAAGCAAAAGCTATTTATACTATTGAGATAACAAAATTAATATGGTCAAAACAGACTTGCCTCATTGTCCAAGACAAACAAAAAGCTGCCGACAACTTGTAGCCTTTTGACAGCTGCAAAACAAAAATTGGTTCAAATTAAATAATAATATAATAATAAAACTTTATTTGTATACCACCTTATCTCCCCAAAGGGACTCAGGCAGGTTTGCAACATATAAGGCAAAACATTCAATTGCCAAGAAGAAAATCATATAGACAGATTAAAATAAAAGCATGATAAAACACAAACATTTATTTCTTTCTTTCTTATTTACTTCATTTCTACCCTGCCTTTCTCGACACGAGAGGGGACTCAAGGAGGCTTACAAATCCAGCAAAAATTCAATGCTGCGCAGATAACAATAAAACACATCTCATAAAAAATTTACTTATTTATTTATGGTATTTATAGCCTGCCTTTCTCAGCCATACGGCGACTCAAGAAAGTTTACAGATTGGCACAGTTCAATGTCAGGCATTCATAAAAGTGCCATTAAAAACAATCAACATTACAATATAAAACATATATAAAAACTGTTAAAGCATATAATCATCGGTTTCATCCTGTTAAAAACATTATCCAGTAACATTGTCTGGCCATTCCATGTTCATCATTCATAGTTCTGTGTTATCTATTCTGCTGCATTCTCAAAAACTTGCTCAAAGAGCCATGTCTTTACATTTTTCCAAAAAGTCAGGAGGGAGGGGACCGATCTAATATCCCTGGGGAGGGAGTTCCATAGCCGGGGGCCACCTCTGAGAAGGCCCTGTCCTTCGTCTCTGCCAATTGCACTTGCGAGGCAGGCAGGATGGAGAGCAGGGCCTCCTCTGACTATCTTAAGCTCCTAGATGGTTCACAGGAGGAGATATGTTCGGACAGGTAAGCTGGGCAGGAATATTTATTTATTATTATTTATTTATTTCGGGCTTTTATATCCCGTCCTATCTCAACCTCCGAAGAGGGACTCAGAACAGCAATCTAAACAATCTAAGCATATAAGCAATTAAAACGCATACCAATCTATTAAACAGATTATAAACCACATACAAAATGCTGAGTCATGGTCTCATATTATTTTATTTCCTGACTAGAAAATAGTCGTTAGGAACGAAGGATTAAGGTGCCAGGAATCTCCCATTAAGCAGGAGCCGTTCCAAGTTTCAAAACCATTTTTTTTCTGGAAGAAAACAATATGAATCTCTCAAAGAAAAACTATAGCTCAGAGGAAAGAACTGGAAACGTCACCCCAGAGCCTTCCTTGCTTAGGAAACTCCAGGCCTGGAAACACTTACTGTATGACCACTGCACCACACAAGAGTCCAGGAATATAAGCAAACAGTTTATTGTAAATCACATAAAAAGTATATCAAAAAGCAGAAATAAGAAAGGAAGATATATAATCCAAAAAGATTTTGCAACAGTTGATAACTAAACAATAATCCAAATGTCTCATAAATTTCCAGAGGTGACAAGGTTCAGGAACAGCCAGAAATTATAGGTACAGCAAAGTCCATAAGCAAAAAGGTATAACTAGTAAAACTTGATCAAGAGTACATGAAAAGGAACATGGAAAACTTCTAGGATTAAAATCCAAAACCAAGGCTTTACCTGAACCAAGAACAAGAGAACTCAGACTTAGCTTCTCACTTTAAACGCAGTATTGCCTGAACTGACCTCAAGGTAAACAACTTTTTGTTTAATAGCCACCCATGAAAGCATTAGGTCTCCTGTGAACTTTCTCCACAACTTTCCCACGTAATCTCTCAGTCTGGTGTGATCTATTTTCAGCTCTGATTTGTAAATGAAGACTTTTGTTAATCTCTGTAGCTACAGGTGGTTTCTCCTGGGAACCCTCCTTATCACTCAACTCTTCACTTGATTCCTTATCTGCTGTTACTATTTCTGGCTCTTCAAACTGACCTTGAGGCCTTGTACTTTCTGAGCCGGTTTTCTCACAAAGAGAAACATTATTTCCCAGACTTAAATTTCCCAGACTTGAGCCCTCGTCACTTTGTGTTACAGGAAAGTCCACAATCCTCTCTAAATCATCAGTGAAACCATCAGCCTCTGGCTGATCTACAACAGAAACGTCCATGAAGTTCAAGGGATCTTCATAAATGGATAGATGAAGACATAATGATTGGAATTAATTGGTTTTCCTTCTTCAAAATAGGTCCCCCTCACTTCCTTAAGACACCCTGTTTATTCTGTCCCTTTATCGAAGAAAAACTCAATTCCTGGGAGTCATTCCTGATGTGTGTGCCTAGGACAGTGGTTCTCAACCTGTGGGTTCCCAGGTGTTTTGGCCTACAACTCCCAGAAATCCCAGCCAGTTTACCAGCTGTTAGGATTTCTGGGAGTTGAAGCCCAAAACATCTGGGGACCCACAGGTTGAGAACCATTGGCCTAGGAGAACATACCTTTAATTATGGCTGAATCAACGACGTTTTCAAGGGACATCTGATTGCTTTTAGGATTCACTTCCCAGACAGACATCACACAGTCACCCGTGCCCTTTAAGAAACAAAGTGCATCAGAAACACACAAAGGTTACAAAGAAATCCTAATTCAGACAATCTTTACAGTTCACTGAGACTTAGGGTCCTTCCAGACAGGCCCTATATCCCAGGATCTGATCCCAGGTTTTCTGTTTATCCCAGATTATCTGGAAGTGCGGACTCATATAATCTATTTTAAAGCAAAAAGCCTGAGATCACATCCTGGGATATAGGGCATGTCTGGGAGGGCCTTTAGTCCCAAGTATAGTAAGTTACTTCTTGAAGTTATGATCTCCAAGATGCATATTTTGATAGATTTATTACAGTTCTTACATGTCACTTTGTATATCTTCCTAGTAAGATAAAACACAAAGCAGTATTAAAAAGGAAGGTGGTTGAATAACAAGGCATTTCATCCTGGGTTCTTGTGGGTTTTTTCGGGCTATAGAGCCATGTTCTAGAGGCATTTCTCCTGACGTTTCGCCTGCATCTATGGCAAGCATCCTCAGAGGTTGTGAGGTCTGTTGGAAGTAGGAAAATGGGTTTATATATCTGTGGAATGGCTGGGGTGGGGCAAGGAGCTCTTCCCTGCTGCAGTTAGGTGTGAATGTTTAGCTGATCACCTTCATTAGCATTTGAAGGCCTGCCTGAGTCTGGGAAAATCTGTTGCTGGGAGGTGTTAATCTGTGCCTGGTTTTTTCCTCTCTGTTGTTTAGCTGTTATAATTTTAGAGTTTTTTAATACTGGTAGCAAGATTTTGTTCATTTTCATGGTCTCTTCCTTTCTGTTGAAATTGTCCACATGCTTGTGGATTTCAATGGCTTCTCTGTGTAGTCTGACATGGTGGTTGTTGGTGTGGTCCAGCATTTCTGTGTTCTCAAATAATATGCTGTGTCCAGGCTGGTTCATCAGGTGCTCTGCTATGGCTGACTTCTCTGGTTGAAGTCGTCTGCAGTGCCTTTCATGTTCCTTGATGCGTGTCTGGGCGCTGCGTTTGGTGGTCCCTATGTAGACTTGTCCACAGCTGCATGGTATACGGTAGACTCCTGCAGAGGTGAGAGGATCCCTCTTGTCCTTTGCTGAACGTAGCATTTGTTGGGTTTTCTTGGTGGGTTTGTAGATTGTTTGTATGTTGTGTTTCCTCATCAGCTTCCCTATGCGGTCAGTGGTTCCCTTGATGTATGGCAGGAACACTTTTCCTCTTCCTCTGGGTGGATCTTCATCTTTACCTCTAAAGATGAAGATCCACCCAGAGGAAAAGTGTTCCTGCCATACATCAAGGGAACCACTGTTCGCATAGGGAAGCTGATGAGGAAACACAACATACAAACAATCTACAAACCCACCAAGAAAATCCAACAAATGCTACGTTCAGCAAAGGACAAGAGGGATCCTCTCACTTCTGCAGGAGTCTACCGTATACCATGCACCTGTGGACGTCTACATAGGGACCACCAAACGCAGCAGCATTGCCCAAACACAAATCAAGGATCATGAAAGGCACTGCAGTCTCCTTCAACCAGAGAAGTCAGCCAGAGCAGAGCACCTGATGAACCATCCTGGACACAGCAGATTATTTGAGAACACAGAAATGCTGGACCACTCTCACAACCACCATGTCAGACTACACAGAGAAGCCATTGAAATCCACAAGCATGTGGACAATTTCAACAGAAAGGAAGAGACCATGAAAATGAACAAAATCTGGCTACCAGTACTAAAAAACTCTAAAATTATAACAGCTAAACAACAGAGAGGAAAAAACCAGGCACAGATTAACACCTCCCAGCAACAGATTTTCCCAGGCTCAGGCAGGCCTTCAAATGCTAATGAAGGTGATCAGCTAAACATTCACACCTAACTGCAGCAGGGAAGAGCTCCTTGCCCCCCCCCAGCCATTCCACAGATATATAAACCCATTTTTCCTACTTCCAACAGACCTCAACCTCTGAGGATGCTTGCCATAGATGCAGGCGAAACGTCAGGAGAAATGCCTCTAGAACATGGCTCTATAGCCCGAAAAAACCCACAAGAACCTAGTGATTCCAGCCATGAAAGCCTTCGACAATACATTTCATCCTGATTAAAATGAACACGACTGCCCTCTAGTGGTGCAAACACACTTCAAATCATGGCCGATTGCTTCTTTCAAATTAGACAATTATACACTTTGATGAGAAGAATAACAACACTAATAATAACATTATTTGATTTAGGTTCTTGTGGGTTTTTTCGGGCTATAGGGCCATGTTCTAGAGGCATTTCTCCTGACGTTTCGCCTGCATCTATGGCAAGCATCCTCAGAGGTAGTGAGGTCTGTTGGAAATAGGACAATGGGTTTATATATCTGTGGAATGGCTGGGGTGGGGCAAAGAGCTCTTCTCTGCTGGAGCTAGGTGTGAATGTTTCAGCTGACCACCTTCATTAGCATTTGAAGGCTGTCGTTGGTCAAACTGATCAGCTTCGATGTGGTATCTCTATTCACCATGGTCCCGGTAGCAGACACCATGGCACTCATCAACCAGAGGTTCCCAGAAGACATCACGGCTCTGTTTTACCATTGCCTCACCACCAGCTACTTTCAATGGGACAATGAATTCTACGAACAGAAAGATGGAGTAGCTATGGGGAGCCCTCTCAGCCCGGTCATAGCTAACTTCTACATGGAACACTTTGAAAAACAAGCCCTGGAAACAGCAACAAAAAAGCCCACGATATGGTTCAGATATGTGGATGACACCTTCACCATTTGGAGCCATGGAGAAGAGGAACTCAACAGGTTCCTGGACCATCTTAACAGCATCCACCCAAACATCCAGTTCACTGTGGAAAAAGAAAATGAAGGAAGACTGCCTTTTCTAGATGTCCTAGTCATCCGCAAATCAGATCAACAATTGGGTCACACCATCTACAGAAAACCCACACACACAGATAGATATCTACATAAAAACTCCAACCATCACCCAAGTCAAAAAAGAAGCACCATTAAAGCCTTGGCAGACCGTGCAAAAAGAATCTGCGAACCCCACCTCCTCCAAGATGAACTGAACCACCTCAACTGGGCTCTCCAGGCCAATGGATACGCCACCTCAGACATCAGAAGAGCTGCAAGACCAAGAACAAGCCACGAGAGTAAAGCTGAAGATCCACCCAGAGGAAAAGTGTTCCTGCCATACATCAAGGGAACCACTGACCGCATAGGGAAGCTGATGAGGAAACACAACATACAAACAATCTACAAACCCACCAAGAAAATCCAACAAATGCTACGTTCAGCAAAGGACAAGAGGGATCCTCTCACTCTGCAGGAGTCTACCGTATACCATGCAGCTGTGGACAAGTCTACATAGGGACCACCAAACGCAGCATTGCCCAAACACGAATCAAGGAACATGAAAGGCACTGCAGGCTACTTCAACCAGAGAAGTCAGCCATAGCAGAGCACCTGATGAACCAGCCTGGACACAGCATATTATTGGAGAACACAGAAATGCTGGACCACACCAACAACCACCATGTCAGACTACACAGAGAAGCCATTGAAATCCACAAGCATGTGGACAATTTCAACAGAAAGGAAGAGACCATGAAAATGAACAAAATCTGGCTACCAGTATTAAAAAACTCTAAAATTACAACAGCAAAACAGCAGAGAGGAAACAACCAGGCACATCTTAACACCTCTCAACAAAAGGTTTTCCCAGGCTCAGGCAGGCCTTCAAATGCTAATGAAGGTGGTCAGCTGAAACATTCACACCTAGCTCCAGCAGAGAAGAGCTCTTTGCCCCACCCCAGCCATTCCACAGATATATAAACCCATTGTCCTATTTCCAACAGACCTCACTACCTCTGAGGATGCTTGCCATAGATGCAGGCGAAACGTCAGGAGAAATGCCTCTAGAACATGGCCCTATAGCCCGAAAAAACCCACAAGAACCTCGTGATTCCAGCCATGAAAGCCTTCGACAATACATTATTTGATTTATTAACCACCTCTCCTTATGACTCTATGTAGGGCACAACTTAGCTAAATACATCTATAAAGTAACATATTAAAACATAGTTAAAATGCAACCAGAGCCCTTCCAATGCCCTCCACAAACACCACACTGTCCACCACGCAAGTGAAGGCTTTCATACAGGAACAATTTCATCCTAGATTTTCTGTTTTTCCTCCACCACTGGCATCCCAGTGTTTCTTACTCTCTGCATTAGTGTGAAACTTGCATGACCCCACCCACTTCCTCTCCCTTAACACTTTCTGATTATTTTCTGTAGCACACAGCAAACAGAGGAATTGATCAGCAACTGAACATACTAAAGAGGTTTGGGGAGAATTCACCTTGATTTATAGGAGTTGTAGGTCCTGGGATGTATAGTTCACCTACAATCTAAGAACTGCACTCTGAACTCCATCAACGATGGACCTGGAACCAACTTGGCACACAGAACCCCCATGACCAACAAACATACTGGAGGTCTTTGGAGGGACTTATAGGAGTTGTAGTTCACCTACATCAAGGGTGCACTATGAACACAAACAAAGATGGATCCAGACCAAAATTGGAATGCATACCCAATATGCCCAAATTTGAATACTGGTAGGTTTTGAAGGGAATTGGCCTGGGCATTTTGGAGGTAAACGTCCTGGGATTTATAGTTCACCTGCAATCTATGAGCACTCTGAACTCCACCAAAAATGGAATTGGACCAAACTTGGAACACTGAGCCCTCATGACCAGCAAAAGATACTGGAGGTCTTTAGGGAAAATTCAGCTTGATTGGGGGGGGGGGGGGTATTGTAGTTCACCTACATCCAGAGAGCACTGTACACTCAAATACTGATGGATCTGGACCAAACTAGGCTCACATACCTGATATATTGAAATTTGATTACTGGAGGAGTTTGGGGAGAACTGACCTTTTTTTTCTGGGAGATCTGGACCAAACTTAGGACACAATAGTGGTAATTGTAGATTACCCTGAAGCCAGAGAGCACACTGAACCCCACCGAAGATGCATCTAGAACAAATTTGCCTAACATGACAAACTTCTAAGTACTGATGGAGTTTCTCAGGGTTAACCTGGCATGATGTGAGTTGTAGTGAGTTGTAGTTCACCCTTACTTACTTAGGCAATCCCTTGTTGTCCAAGTAGGATTGCCTTCCAGGATTGGTGTACTGGCGGTGAGTACATAGGTGACTGTGGAGCCCTATTCTTGACCTGCATGTTCTCCTGCAGTGAGGGTATTGATTTCCAGGTGGAAGGCAGTCCCGGTCGGGTTGGTTTGACATGCCTTCCTCTTGGCACGTTTCTCTTTTGCCCTCCATTCATGCCTCTTCAAATTCTACAGCACTGCTGGTCACAGCTGACCTCCAGCTGGAGTGCTCAAGGGCCAGGGTTTCCCAGTTCTCGGTGTCTATTTCAGGGTTTTTAAGGTTGGCTTTGAGTCCATCTTTAAATCTCTTTTCCTGTCCTCCAACATTCCGTTTTCCGTTTTTGAGTTCCAAGTAGAGCAACTGCTTTGGGAGATGGTGGTCGGGCATTCGAGCGGAGTTGATGGCGGAGGACCATTGCTTCAATGCTGGTGGTCTTTGCTTCTTCTAGCACACTGACATTTGTCCACCTGTCTTCCCAAGAGATTTGCAGGATTTTTCAGAGGCAACACTGATGGAATCGTTCTAGGAGTTGCATGTGACATCTGTAGACAGTCCACATTTCGCAGGCATATAGCAGGGTTGGGAGGACAATAGCTTTATAAACAATCACCTTGGTATCCCTGCAGATGTCCCAGTCCTCAAACACTCTGTGCTTCATTCGTAAAAATGGTGAACTCGCAGAGCTCAGGTGGTGTTGTATTTCAGTGTCAGTGTTGATTTTTGTGGAGAGGTGGCTGCTAAGATAGAGGAAATGGTCAACATTTTCTAATGTTACACCATTAAGCTGTATTTTTGGCATTGGAGAGGGATCGGCTGGTGACTACTGGAAGACCACTTTGGTTTTCTCCAAGACTGTTGCCATCATGTCATCACGGAGGAGCCGCAGGATGTTCACAAATTTATTAGGGCACCTGATTTTTTGGAGGATGGTCCAGAGAGCGCTGCGATTCACTGTGTCGAATGCCTTTGCAAGGTCGATGAATGCCATGTACAGAGGTTGATTTTGTTCCCTGCATTTTTCTTGGAGCTGTCGTGCAGTGAAGATCATGTCCACTGTTCCTCTGGAGGAGCGGAAGCCATTCTGGGATTCTGGGAGGGTGTCTTCTGAGAGGGGTAGAAGGCGGTTTGCAAGGATTCTTGTGATGCTTTTCCCAGCAGAGGTTAGAAGGGAGATAACTCAATAATTTCCGCAGTCTGTTCTTTCCCCTTTTTTGAAGAGGGCAATGATGGTGGCATCCTTGAAATCTGCTGGGATTTTCTCGGTCACCCACACTTTTTCTATGAGCTGGTGGAGTTGTTGTGTCAGCTCAGGTCCTCCCCTCTTTAAAAAATTCAGCAGGGATCCCATCAGGTCCGCTGGCTTTGTTTGTTGTAGTTCACCCACAATCTTATGCACTTTGTACAATTAAAAAATAGAGTTTATCAAATAACCCAAGCAACACCGGTTACCCATGCTAGTTCTAAATATAGCATGAAACTACAAATCTCACAGTCCCATGGCAACTGAGACGGTGCCAATGTTTTATAGTTGTAATGCACGAACGAGACTTATACAGAGGGGTATAGGCCTACTGTCTCTGGTGAAAGTTACAGGTTTACCCTAAAATGTCATTCAAAGCTCACCCTACAGCAGAGAACCCTATAGGTTTGTCTAAGGGCTGCCATAAGTCAGAAAGGACTCGAAGGCACATAACAAAACCCTTTCGCAACAGCTTAAAACCAGCTGGAATTAACCCCTGGTCAAAACCATTCAAATGATGCTCGTATTTACCCCAATTATCAGCATGAATTTGTCCGCTGAACGCATCATCAGAGCAGTAAGGCAGCCCATGGTATGATATGTTTCTGTTGGGATAAAACACGTTTTCACCTGGCCTTGGAGCTGCAAAAGAAGACATTCATTCATTCGCAACATTGAATTTTCTTTGCAGAATTTTAGGAAAAGGAGTGAAGACCAGATGATTTGCTTAGGCCTGCCTCAAGAGCAAGTGGGAAGAGCTACCACTGTGGCTAATATCTTCCTAAGAGGCAGAATAATATGATATAGATCCGGGAAATGAAAACCAACACAGTAGCAACAAAAAATTGCACCAAAAGGATACAGAGACTCCATAGCAAACTGCATTAAAATCAAAGCGCAAACTATAAGACATGGAAAGAACTCGTGCTTACCTTTTTTGCAGCATTGATGTCCATCTTGCCAATTGCTGTGCAAAGTCAAAAAGAGTCATGAGAGTTTTGTATTTTTTCAACAAAGCATTCGGGGTTTTTTTTTCTATTTTACACTTCTAGACACTTATTTTAAATATATACTCTGTATGTTCTCTAGTGGCCATACATTCACTAAACAGTTTGTTTATGTTAGATTGGATCTCTGGGAAATTTGAAGCCTAAAAGATCTGAAGGGACAAAAGTTGTCCCAATTTGCCTTTAAAGAGCTCACAGGATTTCTTTTAATGCTTGTTTTCAAAAATGACACCTTTCTGGCATTGCATATAATTAAAACAGAAAGACTCTATAGCCACATAGACCTCAGTACAACAAAGTGAGAGAAATAACTCTATCATATGAATAGTATTCAAACTATATAAATCCGGAATAATTCACATAATTGTCACCAATGTGATACTGAAAAACAATGGCACTATTAAAAAGTTGAGGAAAAACACTTTAGTACAGAAAAGATAACAGAAAATGCCTTCCCACAACCCACAGAATAACCAGAGACTATGTTTTAGCTCAAAACCATGTTCTCTTACCTTCCTGGGTTTTGGCAAGTGGGAGGTGCATAACACAGAAGAATCCACTGTTTGTGAGAATAAACGCATGGTAAGTACCTATAAAAAATAAGGCCTCAGATGTCAGCAGTCTTCCCAAAAGAGGTGACTTCTTGTTGTTGCTGTAATTATTATTATTATACTCTGCCTTTTCTCTGACAGTGAGGGCTCAAAGAGGTCCTCAATTGATGTCAAAGAGGCCATGCCTGCATGATAGAGTATTGGGCCAGTCTAAAAATTAACACTGACTAATGGGAAAGAGCTTGGAAAGACATGGTGAGTTTTACGGGAAAATTGTTATAAAGTCCACTATCTATGATATTTTATAAGAAGAAGAATTTTATTGTGTTGTCAAAGGCTTTCATGGCCGGAATCACTGAGTTGCTGTGAGTTTTCCGGGCTGTCTGGCCATGTTCCAGAAGCATTCTCTCCTGACATTTCGCCCACATCTACGGCAGGCATCCTCAGAGGTTGGGAGGTCCGTTGGAAACTAGGCAAGTGGGATTTATATACCTGTGAAATGATGTCCAGGGTGGGAGAAAGAACTCCTCTCTTTTGGAGGCAAGTGTGAATGTTGCCCTTGGTCAGCTTGTTTAGCACTGAATGGCCTTGCAAATTCAAAGCCTGGGTGCTTCCTGCCTGGGGGAATCTTTGTTGGGAGGTGTTAGCTGGCCCTGAATGTTTCTGGCATTCCCTGTTTTGGTTACGTTGGATTGCTGAGTACACATGCCCAGTATGGAATACATCCTTCCACATTAAAACAGTGGATGTGGCTCTTAATGAGACATGCCGCACTATCACAGGATGTCTACACCCAACAACACTGGAGAAATTATACTGTTTACCCAATATTGCCCGACCTGACATCCATCGGGAAGTAGCAGCCTGTAATGAAAGGACCAGGAGCCTACGGTGGCGCAATGGGTTAAACCCTTGTGCTAGCAGAACCGTTGATTGAAAGGTCAGCGGTTCGACTCTAGGGAGGGGGATGAGCTCCCATCTGTCAGTTCCAGCTTCTCATACAGGGTCATGAGAGAAGCTTCCCACAGGATGCTAAAACATCCAGGCGTCCCCTAGGCAACATCCTTGCAGACAACCAATTCTCCCACACCAGAAGCAACTTGCAGTTTCTCAAGTAGCTCCTGACACAAAAAAAAAATATGAAAGAACCAAGACAGTGACATATCTGGGCCATCCTCTGTTCACATATCAGCCAGCATGCCAGTACCTTAAATTGAAGAACAGATTCCTAAAATCTGCAGAGATACTCGCAGGAACACCTCAGCAAGTGAGAGTCCCAAAGTGGCAGACAAAAACCCAGAACCTCAATCAGTGGTTGAGACAAGATGAGGGACTCTCTCCTGGAGACACAGAAAACTGGGCAACTTGGAAGGCACTAAACAGACTGCGTTCTGGCACCATGAGATACAGAACCAATCTTAACAAATGGGGTCACAAAGTGGAGTCTGCAACATGCAAGTGTGGCAAAGTGCAAACCACAGACCAATTACTGCAACCTGAGCCCTGCCACATGCACAATGGAGGACCTCCCTACAGTGACTCTAGAGGCACTCCAAGTGGCTAGCTTCTGGTAAAAAAAAAAAAACCTCTAGTATAATGCCAAGTTTTTAAACTTTGTTTTTTTTAAAAAAAACAAAACACACACACATTATCAAAACAGCAAAAATGTGAAACACCTCCCTAAGGCAAAGTTTCAGGGCACTGAAACAGCCAGCAATGTCTAGCTTGCAAGACAAAAATACAGGTTCTTTAGTTACTTGTAAAATATCTCACCTCCATCAGAAACATCTTCCTCCAGAATAAGATTGAAATATGTCCTGCTATTTGATGATCCTTGAACTAATACCTAAACAGAAGTTCACAGGAGACAAAAATCTTTTTACAAAAAGAGAAATTTAATTTGAAGATATTGTACATTATTTTAACCCTAGGTTTTATAAATTCCGTGTATAAATTATATTACACATTGTATATTTGTTGTGTTCATGTGTCCTCAAGTCACATAGGCAAGTCAAAGGTTTTTTTCGAGCAAAACATACTCAGAGGTGGTTCTGTCTGTCACTTCCACTGAAATAGAACCTCCAACCTGGTATTCACTGACAGTCTCCCATCCACGTACTAACCAGAGCCGACCCTGCTTAGATTCCAAGACCCAATGGGATCAAATGCCTTTAGGATATGTATTCTCCACATTATATTACATTTATGTAATTATAAAAGTGACAATAGAAGTGCATTCACATGCCATAGCTAAAGTTCAGTTCACATCTTGAGAAAAGTTACTTTCAGAGTTGAGCAACCAGAACACCCAGAAATTGTAGTCCAAAAACAACTTTTTCCAATTTTGGAATAAAGACATAAAATCCCCAAGTACCTAAATTCAGTCCTGAGCATCAAGAAGAAAAACAGCATGAAACTCTACCAGGGAAGTTCAATTAGCTTGATTAGTTCTCCGTTGGTTACATAACGGATCTAGTTGACATGTAACAGGAAACGACAAAGAACATTGCCATAAGGAGATAGCAAACTGTACATTAATTGCAATTGCTTATTATCATCCAATTTTGGAGAAACAGTGGTTGATGTTATCAGTCTTTTCGCCTACCTGTAATCCCCCTTTTCCTGTTATTGTTGCTGGCAGTTTTAATAAAATTAAAAGCAATGGGGGGATGACGACAAAAGAAGTTGCCATGGCAGTTCAAGTGGCATGTTGCGCTCTAATTGTGCAACATGAAAGGTGCCCAAAGCGAGAATTGTGTTTGGCCTCTAATCCCATATGGCTGCTGTTGTTTTGCTCCCTGGATTAGGACTCTGCTGGTTACTGCATTAACAGCTGGTCATCTAATCAAAGATATTGTAAAATCTGAGCAAGAATGAGTATTCTCTATTGGTAGGCCACCTCCAGAACCCTTGAAGAAGAAACAGGAGTTATAAAATACACAGGTAAAAGGGTGAGCACGTGGCAGTTATGCATGTGCTCCATGATCTGTGTCTGACAGATGGGAGCAATCCATTGTGTGAGGCCATAAGTGAGAGTCATATCTGCAGTGGCATCCCTGTGTATGGGACGTTTCCCTTATGGAAGTCCAATTGATGCCAACACTGGTTCCATTTGGCCACCAACTCTAAAAAAGCCTTTGGGCCCGAATCAGCTTCTCCAAAACATGGTTTTAAAATTCTATATTGCCAAACCGGTCCATATGTCTTTTGATTGTTTGAGATTTCAAAGTTTTTTCCCCAATTATTTTTACAGTCATTTTGCAGAAATTACATTTTCAATCAAGAGAAAATACAATCAAGAGCAAATAGTATGATTGCTTCCTCCTGTCCCACAAATCTACACATATACATATACAGTAAAGCAGGGGTCCTCAAACTTTTTAAACAGAGGGCCAGGTCACAGTCCCTCAAACTGTTGGAGGGCCGGATTATAATTTGAAAAAAAAAAACATGAATGAATTCCTATGCGCGCTGCATATATCTTATTTGTAGTGCAAAAAACATTTTAAAACAATACAATAATTGAAATTAAGAACAATTTAAACAAATATAAACTTAATCGTATTTCAATGGGAAGTGTGGGCCTCCTCTTGGCTGATGAGATAGGGTTGTTGTTGTTGTTGTTGTTGTTGTTGTGTGCATTCAAGTTGTTTCAGACTTAGGTTGACTCTGAGTGAGGGCCGAGGCTGAATAAATTACCTTGGAGGGCCGCATCCTTGGGCCTTAGTTTGAGGACCCCTGCAGTAGAGTATGTTTTATTGATTAGCCCATCAGTCATATCAACACACACATATATATATAAATACAAACACTTCTGAACAATGCCTACAATAATTGTTCCCCATTATATTATTTCCCCCTTCCACGCCTCTTTGTTGATTCGGGTGTAGTGTTGAGATTGAATGTAGTCAAAACAGTGCAGGACTCTCTCAGCTAGCTCTCTGCTTAGTTCTGTTCCATGTAAAAACTTGTTTATATAATTATATAGTTCCCAAATACACACTTTATTTTATGCTATGAAGGAGATTTTTCTCTTGGCTCCATATAATATAATGTTGATCTGAATATATGATGGCAGTTCAAACCAACTAATCATGCAAAAGGTACATTTCTTCAACGTTTATCTCCACTTTATTATACTAGCTTGGGGACCCAGCAATGCCCGGGGTAAATGGAAAGGGCATTTGATGACTGGATTATTTGTCGACTGGGTTCAGTGCTCTCTGGATAAGGGTGAACTACAACTTCCACATGCCAAGGTCACTAACCCCTAAACCCCGCCTGTATGCACAGTTAGCCATGTTGGGTCTGCGTTTGGTTGAGATCCATTGTTGGCTGGGCAGGTGAACAACAACTCCAAAACCCAAGATCCATTCCCACAAACCCCTGCAGAATTTTCAAGTGGCCATGGCGCTTCTCTGTGCTAAGTTTTGTACTGGTCCATTGTCAGTGGGGGTCACAGTTTCTCTGGATGGAGGTGAACTATAACTTCCATAAATCAAGGTCAATTTTCCCCTACCTTCTCCAGTATGTTCTGTTGGTCATAGGGAGTATGTGTGCCAAGTTTGGTACAGGTCCGTCATTTGTAGGGGTTGCAATGATCTGTGGGAGCCTAATCGGCTGAAGGTACTGCAAATTCCATCATCCATGGTCCATCCTCCTCCAAACTTCACCAGGGTGTGAGGTGGGCCATGGGGGGTTTGTGTGCCAAATTTGGTCCAGGTCCGTCATTTGCGGGGGTTGCAGTGGTCTCAGGAAGTGAGTGAAGGTACTGCAAGTCCCATCATCCATTATTCATCCTCCTCCAAACTGTACCAGGACATAAAGTGGGTCATGGGGGTTCTGTGTGCGAAGTTTGGTCTTGATCTGTCATTGGTGGGGTTCTCAATGATCTGTGGGAGTCGAAGCAATTGAAAGTACTGCAAATCCCATCACCCAAGGTCCATCCTCCCCCAAACTTCACCAGGACGTGAGGTGGGTCATGGGAGTTCTGTGTGCCAAGTTTGGACCAGGTCTGTCATAAGGAAAACTCTCAGCATTATGTCCTCAAAATGCACTTTACTACTGCTTTAGGATTGACTGCGTTCCCTCATTCTCTCTGAAAATCCTATCCCAATTATATCCTACCTTGTTCACATCAGCATTATTTTTTTAATTTTAATCTATCAGATTTGGCCCGGCCATTGGTTTTTAGATGCTTATATGTTACTGTTGATTGCTTATTGTCTGATTTATATTGTATTGATTGTTTATTGATGTTTTCTTTTATTGATGTTTTGTTTATTGATGTATTGCGGGCTTGGCCTCATGTAAGCCGCACCGAGTCCCTTGGGGAGATGGTAGCGGGGTACAAATAAAGTGTTGTTGTTGTTATTATTATTATTATTATTATTATTATTATTATTATTATTGTGTGGTTTGCAGTGGACTCTCAGAGTGAAGGTATTGCAAATCTCATCATCCGTGGCAAGTTTGGTCCAGATTCATCGTTGGTTGGGTTCACGATGCTCTTTGGATGAGGGTGAACTACAACTCCTATACATCAAAGTCAATTCCCCCCAAACCTGGTCATGGGGGTTGTGTGTGCCAAATGCGGTCCAGGTCCATTGTCAGTGTTGTGTCTTGATGCAAGGTGAACTACAACTTCCATCTTGTTGAGTCAGTCCCCCAACCCCCTCCAGTCTGTTCAGTTGCTGATCAATTCCTCTCTTTGCTGTGTGCCATAGGAAAGGGTAGGAAAGGGTTAAGGTAGAGGCAGTGGGTGGGGTCATGCAAATTCCATAGCAATTGAGAGAGAAAGAAACCCTGGGATGTGGCACTCGCCATAACCTGCAATATCAGTGGAGGGAGGATGTCTCCTGCGTAGTGGGAACTATAGCGTGTTTGTGGAGATGGGACTCTGTCTGTGTAAGTGAACACCCCTGCCACATACACTTTCACTTTTATTATGTGTATAGATAGAAGATGATAGATAGATAGATAGATAGATAGATAGATAGATAGATAGATGATAGATAGATAGAAGATAGATATAGATTGCTTACCAATGATGATGAAACTAGCCCCTTATTAGAGATACGAACAGATACTGAAATTATAAAGATGAAATGTATTGAGGACACAACAAACCCGAATGAACTCAAGTTAAGCCCCTTCCACACAGCTGAACAAAATCCAACATTTTCTGCTTTGAACTGCAATATATGGCAGTGTGGACGCAGATAACTCAGTTCAAAGCAGATTTTGTAGGATTTTCTGCCTTGATATTCTGTGTTATATGACTGTGTGGAAGGGCCCTTAGTCAAGGGGAATCAAATGACTTCCACACAACCCTATATCCCAGAATATCAAGGCAGAAAATCCCACATATCTGCTTTGAGCGGGGTTATAGGACTCTGTGGAAGGGCCCTTAAATTAACTAACAAGGGTTAAAATAACAGACTAAAACAGGTGACTTGAAATGAAAATGGCAGTAGGATTCATCTACATCTCTATCTCTATCTCTATATCTATCTATATCTATATCTATCTATACATATAATAAAAGTCAAAGTTTGTATGCGGAGGACAAAAGTGTGGCGGTGTGGAGGAGTATGTGCCAGCATTCTGATTCGCCAGCCTAAAAGTTCCAAGATTCTGATTGGCTGCCACTCTGGTGCTATTTGCATATGGTCTCGGATTGGCCAGCTTTACAGGAGCCCCTGGTGGAGAAAAGGGTTCATGACAGAAACGGAGACATGAGAGAAGGAAATTTGCATATGGTCTCTGATTGGCCAGCCTCAATTCCAAGATTCCGAGATGACAAAGAGAGGAAAGGAAAAGGCCAGAGGGGTGAGTCAGAAAATT